AAAAAGAATAAGAATAAACCGGCCCAAAATGCAAGAGAAAAGAAATAAAAACAACCTAGAACAAGAACTAGACTAAGTCCACCATATCGTCACGTAAGCACGTAAAACTCCCTCACACTTAAAATTGGACAATGTCCCCATTGGCAATTCGCGGTGAAGGAGAGTAAACCATATAATGAACTTGACTCGAAATGAAAGAAACTATACAAAAATAAAGGAGAAAGAGAAAGAAAAACGTACAAAGCACAGTGACAACTGACAAGTCACTGTGCGTTCGGTGGTGGTGCCGGTGGATGCTGGTACTGTTGCGCCTCCCAGGTGTCCCATCAGTTGTCATGGGCAGTCCAGTGCGCTTTGTTGATCCTCTGGAACTCGTTCCACTCCCTCTGCTGCTCTGCCCAACGCTCGTCATTGGTCTTCAAGAAGGTTGTCCAACGGGCATCATTCTGCTCTATATACGAGTCGAGCCGCACATTGTGCGACGCGACTGTGGAGTGGATGGCCTGATACTGCTCGTCATTCCGGGCCTGGTTCTCCTCATACCGAGCTTGGTTCTCATCATATCGGGTCTGGAACGTGGAGAACCAAGTGGGAGGCTGCTGAGAAAATGTGCTCGGGTGGTCGCCCATCACTGGAGGGGGCTGATAGGTGCCGTGATCGGGCTGTGTCTGGGCCTCGGAGTCCTCGTCATCCTCGTCATGGGAGGCTGATCGAGCTGCACCGGTGGATGTACCGACTCCCGTCTGGGATTGGTCGGCCGGTATAGGCAAACCCATCTCCCTACAATAAGTTTTGTAGCTCTCCCGCTGGTGGACCGGTCGTGGAGTGGTAGCATTGATAAGAAAATCCCGAGCGAGATCCTTCTTGGACAGATATGTAGGAGCCATTTTGGGATCCTTGATGTCCACACCGAAATACTCGACAAGCTGTGCCACCACATGGCCCAAGTTTGGACCACGCCTCGAATCATTCCGGACATCGAAGAGTGACTCCTTCAAATACTGTATCATGCTAACTGATCTGCCCTGGGAGATCGACCACAAAATGAAAACCTGCTGCTCGCTAACCTTATTCGACTCTTTCTTGCCGAATATCATGTGGGATAAGTACTTGTGGATCACAACAAGGGCTAGGTCACTAATTAAACCCGACGATGCCTCAGCTTTCTTGTACTTCTCGCACGGGGAAATGACCACCCAATGCGGGTCAACCTTCCATCCCATGGGGCTGTGACATGACTGGATCAAGGACTGGAACTTGTAGATGTCACGTAGCACCTTGTCGGTGATTTTGTATTCTATGCTCTTGAGTCAAGCCGTGAGGTATTTTCCATTCTCGTGCCGAGCCACCGTGCTAAAGAACTCATTGGTCAAGCTTCTATAGGAATAAACTTACATTTCCTCAAACTCCTCGAGGTCGAGCAACTTGAGGTATTGCTTGATGTCCTCTCTAATCTCTAGCTCGTCATTAAAGTAATCCCAATCGATTATTCGTGGTTTCGGAAACGGTTTGGAAGTAAGGCGTTGATATGCTGTAACCTTATCCATTAACTCGACATCGAATGGGATGAGGTGGAGCGCTCTTAAGGTTTGATTCTCAGTTGTCGGGTCGGGGTTGGAGCTTGTGGTTGCCGCCGCTTTGGACTTTGAAGTTGCGGGAGCCTTTCCCTTTGAAACCCCGGTAGTTTTGCCCATGATTTTTGATTCGGGCAATTGATCGAACACTTAGTGTGCGGGGTTGAGGCTTGGAGTGCTTAGAACAATTTGAATGTGAAGGGTCCCGGAGTTGGCCTCCTCACGCCACAATACTCAACAATTTGCAAGGAGGAGAAGCTTTTTGTACCTTTCAAGTGAGTTTCGGCCGAAATGATCAAGTTCACGAACTAGGGTTCCCGGAGGAGTCTTGGATGTGCAATTGGTGGAAGGAACGGTAGTGAAGTCGGATTCAAGGATGTTGCCGGAGTGAGTGGTCGAAGTGTTGATGCCGGAAGTTGGACAATTATGATCGGACTGAAGGTGTGAGAAGACGCCGGAGTTGTTTGGTCGCTTGAGGATTGAGAGAGAACTCTTGTGTTTGTTGAAAAGTGGTGTGCCCGACGATTTTTTTTTTTTAAGTAATCTCAGGGGTTAGCGCCGCTAAGGGTTAGCGGCGCTAACCAATCTTAGCGGTTGATGTCTGATCTGCGGAAAATTGGTAAGCGGCGCTAAGGGAATCTGCCTTAGCGGCGCTAAGAAACCTTAGCGGCGCTAAGGCCTATTCCAGATTTTTTTTTTATTTTTATTTTTTTTATATATAA